TAGTTCGCGTAGGGCGGGAAAGAATCCATGTAATTCGACCCAGTCTGACGAGCAGGCTCCGATCTGGGAGTGTTTCTGCCCGATACGGAGTTCTGGTTAAGTACATCGGATGTATTACCATTGAGATTTTTGTAATAATGATTTTGCACAGAACCAGATATCAGTTGTCCTTGATTCTGATACGAGGGTATGTAATGCTGTTGCTGTTGCTGTGATGGTGGTTGCTGCTGCGGGGTATCCGACTGTTGGTCCAGATTCCAGTCCCAGGGATCCTTCCATGTATCGCTCGCATGTTTTGACTCGTTCACGAGAGATTGCTGGGTGGTATCATTCGGCGGGACATCCAATTGAGGCCCAGACATGGGCATCCACATATTTTGGTTGTGCATTCCATATGTAGCTGAATGGTCCACCCGAGATCTGGCGGGTCTAGCTCGATAAGGATTCTGTAATTGCAATTAAATATTTTTTTTAACACCTAAATCATTTTTCACTTATCTATTGTTACATGACTTGTAAAGTATCCAACATATACTTACGTTCATGCTGCCTGCAGGATTTTGCAGTCTGATTTACAGCAATCTTTGAGATCTGTAATAAATATAAACGATAAAATAGAATGCGGTGATATATCTCGAATGAAGAAATGACGGATTCAACGGAGATAGTAGGAAATAAATAGAAATCGCAAAAGTATGCTCTCTAAATTCTTTAGAGTGGAATCTCACTCTAAAGAGTAAAAATTTAATCAGTCTTAAAAAAGAATAACTCAATTTTCAAAAATAACTTAATTAATAAAATTTTAAGAATAAGATCTTACTCTTCACGAGATTCACTCTTAAAAGTTTCAGAGTGACAAAACATCTTCATATAATTCTATAATGTATATTCATATACATACATCACTTTTATACGATTGGCAATAAATCAAGAATAATTTTCGCTGTCATGTAACCTGAAGAAGAAAAGTTTATCGTCAAAACATTAATGTTTGACACGTCGAACCCCCCATTCGCGATCTGAGGAAAATGCTTGTCATTGCGACACTGACAGTCTTAGTACACAGATGTGAATTATAAATAGGTCATTAGTCGCAAGTTTTCGTAGTACTGGATAATTTTCGAAGATTCTTCAGCACGTCGTATCGTCGAAGGAAGAAAAGGAAAACGAATGCGCAACGAAAATGATCCCAAGTAAACGCGATGACTGTTATAACAAGATTGTTTCGTAAACCTTGGCTAGCGAAAGGAGAGCTTTCGGCCATCCGATAAGGAGCCCCACCAGTCGAGGAATCTCAGCCCCGACGGTGCAGAGGCGCTCGATTTAACGTAATTATGTAATCACGGACGTGGCAGGGTGTCTTCCTGGTCGTCGTCGTCCGGGAAACGTGGCGAGATCGCAGGGTTTAGGCGACCAGCTGTGAGAGTCGACGGTGCTCGACGACACTCGACGGCGCGGGGAGGATCGACGTTTGCTGTTCGCATACGCGTTCACTCACCTAAAGCTATCGTCGCTCGTGTTGCCGTTTCCACGCGTCCGGTATGCGCATTATTGGCCGTTGCCGCCACCAGTCACTTCTGTGGATTTCTTCTCACGATGGAGCAAACGTCCTCGTCCTCGTCCTCGTCGTCGAGGTCGATGTCGATGTCGATAGCCGTGCGCGGACACTCAATTGACTCAATCTTAGGAGTACACGGACATTTCGATGTACGCGAGAAAGATAGACTCACAGAAAAAGAGAGAGAGAGAGAGAGAGAGAGAACGCGCGAGAGAGAAGCAAACACGACTCGCGGCCGAGCACGTCACGGATCCTTTCTCTCCCCCGACTCTCCGTTCCGTTCAACCACAGCAACTTTCCACGCGAGCGGAACCAGGACGAACGTCAAAAGCCGAGGCCGGAAGTCGAGCGTCGCGCCGCGGCGATTGCGCGCGCAAGATGGCGACCGCCAGTCGATTCGAACGAGGCACACCAACGATATATTTTTCAATTAGGAAATTCTTTTTATTTCCTCAGGTGGGAAGACGAATTCTCACGATTACGCGACAGCAGCAGGCAATTGTCCACCTCAAAAACGCGCGCTTCGACGTTTCCTTACGACTCGTGGCGAGTTAAATTTCTGCGCGAGACGAGTGCGCCAACGTCGCGTGCACGCGCACTCGCAGACGTCGTAGGTTCGTTTTCTGTAGCTAGGGTACACTTTTAGTACTTAAAGTAAGATAAGTATGTGTTTGATATTTAGCGAAGGCGAGAAAAAGAATTCCAGTGCGGTTTGGTGTAGGAATAAAAAAATAGGATCCGTGTATTTGATTTTTTCGCGATGCGCTCACCGACGACATCGACTCTTACGTCGGCTGCTGGTGGTAACGCAAAACGTACGGTGCTCACTTGCACTCGGCGGATAAGCGATCGTTGGCCGAGCGATCGGCGCGCAGATCGACCGAATCGACTGACGTGGTGGATCGGGAGTGGACCTGCAGCGGCCACATCGGCGACCAGTTACGCGCGAATGGTCTTCGGACGTTGAAGTCGCGGAACAGCGCGACGATTGTACGATTAATTCTTCTTCTCGCTCATTCCAGACGAGATTGGTGAATAGATCCTCGATAAGATGGTCTTGTTCACGATAATAGCGAGGGTGGCAGACGGCCTACCACTGGCGGCTACCATGCAGGACAATGAACAGGTTAGACGTATGCTATGATGAAACGTCATCTCCTTCTTACAATTAGCCGTCACACTTTACTTCTGCAATTAACTCGATGCGTCCGCGGAAGTCTTATTACTGACAATGTGGGAGAAGGAATCATGAAATTTATTTGTTAAAGTAATTGTCCGTTTCCATCAATGTAATTAACTTTAATTTTGCTCCAACTTACTTTTCATCTTTTTAATTTGTATATCTAGAAAAAGACAAAGAATAAATTGAACAGAGATTCAAGTAAATCTACATTGGTGGAAATGACAGAAAAGTTAAATTTAAAAGTTTAAATTTTTGGAGCAAATCAATATTTAGACTGGCATCTGTATACTTATATTTTATTAGATTTATTTATGTTTATATATATTTATGTAATTTATTTATATATCTTTATATATTTTATTATATACTTTATTAAACTTAAAAACTGAAAATTATGTTCTGTTCTATAGGATGGTAAGAATATTGTGGAATATCAAAATCAAGCAAAGATGCTATTCAGAAAGCTAGGGCCACAATCTCCAACGAAGTGTACTCTCGAAACTGGACCGTATCTTTTCCAGTAAGTGATAGTTGGGCTGTGTTTGAATTCTAAATGTCCCACTGTATCATTGTGTTCTTATTAATTAACTATTAAATTGAAATAAAATGATTTTATAACTTCGTCATGTTGTAATAAAAATTAAAAAATCAAAATGATACATTGGACATTTAAGTAGAGAATCTAAACACGTATTTAGCAGGTTTCTATGTATTTTGAAACATTGTATATTGTACTTTGTTTATAGTTATTTAATCGAAAATGAGGTATGTTATCTGGTACTATGCGAAAGGAATTACAGCACACGCATAGCTTACAGTTATCTGGAAGATATAGCACAAGAATTTCATTCTCAGTATGGAAAACGTGTAAATACAGTGACCAGGCCTTATACCTTTATTGAATTTGGTACGCTAGACTGTGAATGTTAACACCTTATTGAATATATTGCATTGGCTTTATATTGTTTGTTTCTTAGATACGTACATTCAGAAAGCCAAGAAGATTTTTATGGACAGTAGATCTCGCAGAAACTTGAATACACTTAACAGCCAATTGCAAGATGTGCAAAGAATCATGGTGCAAAATATCGATGATGTTTTACAAAGGGGTACCGTACTTTCAGGTAACATAGAACTGTTCTGTTTGTGTAAAAAGCTAAAAATGTAGAAATCTACTAAAAGAAATATACTAAAATATTTGTATTTTGCAGAATTGGATTCAAAGACCCAAAACTTGTCTATGTTATCACAAAAGTATAAAAAAGACGCGAGACATCTAAACAGCAAATCGATGTACGTAAAAGCTGTTGCAGGTCTTGTTGCATTTTTGGTCTTTTTGTTATATTTCTTCATTCTTTAGTTAAACAATACGAATAAAAAAACTTCGATATTATACATCAAAGGTATTCCATTTTCAAGGATAGAATATTTTTGTTTATCTCTCTCATAATTGTGGAGTATTTGTGTGATTCCAACATCCATTTATATTTATAGAAGGAAAATGAAAATTTTCACATATAAGATATAAAAATTGCGAAAATGTGATTATATTGTATTGATATATTTAAACCGATCCATGTAAAAATTATGTTTATAAAAAAATAGTATATAACAAAATAATTCAATGATTTTTTAGCATTGCTCAGTGACAAAATTTTTTGTTACATAGAAATGAATAGGTATAATTTTTTATTATAATATTTTCATTGACTCGTTCTAATAATCTTATGGAAGGGATCTAATAATTTCTATGTAAAAACTATACAATATGCCATCATTTTAAAAATATAGTGTAACAAATATTTGTGTGATTTATTTATTTTCGTAGTTTGTTGTAACAATGAAAAATAAATTATCTCTACAATAACTGGAATAAAAAATTTTTTTTAGTAGAGATATCATGAACTTTTTCATTGATAAAAGATTGTATTTATCATTCCTTGTACTTATGGATTGTATTTATCATATCTTTATTGAATCAATTTTGTGAAGTCCCTCTGTAAAGAGAGTCCCAAGTTAGTATAAATTTAAAAAGATATATTTATTATTTGAGTGCGGTTGTATTTTTGGTGGTGTGGCAGATATATGTATCATCAGTATATGTGGAAAAGGAACCAATTAAGAAAAAAATGTATTATAGACGATCATACACGTCATTAATGTTGCTACATTTGTATTTCATCTGTATTAAAATTAATGATATATTTACAATAAAAATATCCATATATAAGTCAATATCTATAATAATGGACGTAATTTTTACATTTTTATTAACTCTTCATAATTTGGTATATTAAGCGATTTTTTCTTCTTTTTTACTTTATTGTCCGTATTCTCATCATCAGAATCCGAAAAATCATTGAAGAAATAGTTTACTGGTTCATTTTTTTTGTTATCATCGGACCTGTTATTGTATCTTTTTTTTGCTCCATAACTTGTACATTCTGCATCATTCATTTCTTCATCTAGAAAATAATATGTATATAATATACTGATTTATGACAACGTATTGATAGCATTGTAATGAATAATATTTACCAGTATCTATAATATCGTACATATTCGAGTGATCTTTCATAACAACATGCAATGTCGGAAACTCCACTATAGTTTTATTCTCCAAATTTTCTTGCAACGTAAGCGTAACATCCAGGTCATAAAATCTAAAAATAATATCGATTATAATTATAATAAATCGATTATAATTAAGTGCTTTAATCATAAGACTAGAAAACAAAGAAACATTTACCTGAACTGTGCCTTCTTTATTTTCTCGGCTTTTAAAAGAACTTTGATATTAGTTAACCCAGCTGCTCTATAAAACTGTAATTTATCAGCTAAAAGTAATTTTGTGTTCAATTTTTCGATGTCAATCTCATCTGTTGCAGAGACTGGATCTAAAACCTGTTCCACCAACGTTGATAATCTTACACTATCTAGAGTTCTATAATAAACATAATAATGTATTATTCACTTCTTAAAAACTATATATCAACTTTCAGAAATGACACATATATTTATGTACCTGTCTATTGTGTATTTTATATTTTCAGCTTGTGGAAAAATCCATTCTAGACGCCAGAATAGCTCGTTGGTCTTCCAATTAAGGTACGTAGTATTCTGCTTGTGCCGACTGAAAACTTGTGGCATATATAACAGTGACACTTTTCTATGGGACGCTGCGCATCTCAATTTATGTAGGTGCTGTAAGAGAAGATATTATGACTTTGTGGCACTTTTAAAAAATATATGCAAAAAAGAGAAACTATCATACCACTGGTAAAATAGTTTGACGAGTATATTTTATCTCTGGATTTCTCTTCTTTGTATCAATTGATCTACCAACTTGCTCGAGAAAGCGATAGTCTGGAAAATATCAAGCGTTATTTTAAATTTTAAGCTATCTCAGGCAACTGAGAATGAAGAAAGGAATCTGTTCTCTTACCACTTAGTAAATCTAAATCGGTAAATGACGCTAAAGGGACAAACTTGGTTGGATCCCGGATCCCATCACATTCTAATTCCTTCTTATGAACATTCACGCATGTGAGAGAGCATGTTCTAACCTCACATTTCGGGCAAGTGTATCGCGCCTTAGCTACGTCGCATACCTCGCAATTCTCCAATCTGTAAATAAAGATAGTAATAAATTAACTGTCCGATAATCAGTGTCGCGAGAAAGTTCTATCGGTTATATTTAATTATATACCTTGGAAATCTTATATATTACACTTACTTGTTCTTGATGGCTGCCATCTTACTTTTGCTTGCTTCTATGCACTTATGACTTTATATATGTGGTGTGGGGTGCGCGATGTGTGATAACAGCTGTTTTGTACATATAATTTTCGTTAGGGCGAATATATTATTAACATATATTAACATATATTATTAACGAATATATATTAAATAACAATCGTCTTGAGTTCAAGTTCAAAATAATTTTTATTTATTCTCTTTTTTCTTCTCTGCATATATACAATATCCTTTACAATATCGGCTAGATGGTTTTACCACCTTTTACAATGAGAGATTATTACAAAAATAGACCAGCTCTAGATAAATCATGATTATTAGGGGTGTGTTCCAAAACTTGACTCTGTCAACTCTGAATATCTTTTATTCTTGTTCAACATTTGGTGAACAACGAAGATAAAATAATAAGTACTCGGATTGACATAATCGAATTTTGGAATGCAATTCAGAATCCCGAAGGTAAAGCGGGGAGCACAAACTCTTGCATAATGCATAACACATAAGACATAAGAAAATGAACCAATCAAAGTGCTTTATTTCCTTCTTTTTCGTGAAATAAAGACTCTGATTAGTTGATTTTCTTATACTTCATGTTTTGTGCATTATATAAGAGTATGCTTAAGGCTAATTCTACAATGTGCTATTTGTTTCCTGTTTCTTGTTGTATGTCTCTGTTTGTTTCTTGCTTTTTTGGTCAATAAGACAAGAGACAAACAGCAAGAAACAGAAAACAAAAAAGGACATTGTAGAATTAGCCTAAGTGTATGAAGAACGACATTACCAACTACTTACTATTTAGATGTATTGGTCTATTCATTGTCAAACAGCAACAAAAAATGAAAATAAGATGTCTTAAAATATCTTCTAGACTATTTTAGACGTTTTTAAAGCCTATACAATGTGTTTCCTCTTTCTCGCACACAAAAATATTTCATATATAATTATATAAAATTATATATAATATATATAAAACATTCATTTATATAACATTTTTTCCTCGATGCTTTTTACTTCTTGCCTTTTTGCCTCTTATCCAATTTTTTGTTTTTCCTTTCGTCCGAAATAAAAATTGATGGACTTCGAAAGAGATAAGCAACACGTGAAAAGAAACGATTGTCAATAAAACGATCGTAAAGAAGAAAAAAAGGCATGAGGTAAAAAGCGAGAAAGCAAAGAATACATTATAGATTGCACAGATGTTCACCAGCACAGATGTTCAAGCTAAGGATGTTTTGAAGAGTATCCTGAAAATGTTTCAATAGTCCTGAGAACGTTAGCAGGAACATCTCTGGGATAAAGTATACTGTATGGGTAAACTTTAGACGTCTTTAAAAAAAATGTTTTTAAGGTATCTTATGACTCGTTTTTAAATATATTGTTTGGGGAGGATAACATTAAACCTGTCCTTAAAAATCACATTTGTTATCCTCAGTACAATCAAAATAGTTAATGCCATCGCTCTGTATAATTACGGATGGGCTTTCTTCGCGTCCCTTTCATGGTCACGAAAAATCTTTGGCCGGTCATTTTTAATAACATCTCGTCGATGCTTTTATTGAAGCATTTCAGTCACTCTTAAAAAATAAATCTTAATTATTTTTATAACTTTTAACTTGAAAGCTTAATATATCCATCTATTAGTATGAAAATCAATGTGAGAAACATTTACAATACTTATCGTAATTGAAACAATTGATGGTATATCTTGATTTATTTATGGAACTAATTATAGTTTATCTCATAACAAAATAACACACAAACTATTCACAATAAACACATTGAGTTATACGAGTTGACTGCTCGTATGTATCTATATATGAGCTGGTTAAAAAAAGAAAGAAAAAAAAGGAAATGTATAACAAGAGTTCATTGTGATGTGTGTATGCTATGCTTTCGCGAATAAAGTAATCTTAACAACTTAATTAATGAAGATGATTGTAATCTAAAAATATCTTCGTTGCTCATTGCGTCCCTTATTTTGTGACTATAGGACATATAAGTACGATAACAGTAACATCTTATTACGATAGCGCCTTGCACTGTTTGCAGTTCTCCATTCGTTCGTTAAATTCCTCTATTTGCAATGTCATCTCAAAGAATTTATATTTATCGTGGATATTCCGCGTAGCGGTGCATAAAATGTTCTGGGGACTTGATCCAGGTTCTGCGAATGAAAATATCGCATTGTTTCAATAAAAAATAAATATCGCGAAATAATATAAATAATAATAACATAATAACAATAGAAATACGAAACATGATTTTATATATAATAAAATTTAGAAGTCTAAAGATGAATGATAAAATGCAAGAATTTATACAGTTTGAATCGAGAAATATATATATAATGATCTAGGATGTAATGTTAAAGGATCTAGCACAGATGCAAGAATTTGAGAATCTATAAATACAAGCATGCTTTGTGACAGTATACATTATTTTAAGACTTTAGTTCCCTTGCATAACTAAAATGCGTAAATATAAGAAGTGCACATGTTGAATTGTATTTTTGGGTTTACGTACTTATAGCAAGATGCGCTGACAGAGCAGTCTTGTCGAGTGAAAGCGCCCAGATTCTAAGATTGTGCACCTTAACAACTCCATCTATTTGCATAAAGGTATTCTCCACGTGCGAATAGTCAAAACCCTTAGGAATACCTTCCATCAAGACATTAATTACATCTTTAATAATCGCCACTGTAGTGAGAATAACTAATATGGAGAAGAGGAATGTACATATTGGATCCACCAAGCTCCAACTTGGCTGAAATATTAATCGATTATTAGTCATGTTTTATGTTTTCGATAGATAAGCCTATTTATTCATTGAGTCACAAAACTTCTATAAAAGATAAATATATGAAGAATGCAAGAATGATAACTTTTTAAAGCTTTATTTTTATTTCATGAGACATGATAAAAGTATGTAAAAATATACGTTGATAAATTACTAATGAAAGATACCTTAAAATAAATGACTAATGCGGCGACGAATACTCCCACGCTCTGAATAAAATCACCCAAAACATGAATGAATGCGGCGCGCACATTGATATTCTTTTTTGATTGCTCGCCTTTGAGATCATCATCATGTCCATTTTCCATATCATCGTGATTATGCCCACCGTGACTGTGTCCGCCGTGACTGTGGCCGTGCTGATGCAACGACAGGCCCATTCTATAATTCACATACATATAATGCATATATTTCTCTCTACATTAAAGCAATTAAATAAAGACTAATTCTGGAAATTTTGTTAAAACTAATTAATATCTACAATTGTGAGCTAATTTTTTTATTTAAATTAAATAAAATTCAAATCAGGCTATTCATGTAATTCAATTAATTCTCAAATATTTCTCATTTCGCACATTTTAAATTAATTCGTATATTATTCACGATTAGTATATGCGCAACGAGGATTTTTATAGCCAGACTGTGTTACTTGCCAAGTAACACAGTCTGGCTATAAAAAAATTAAAAACAAGATCAAAATATAGCCACAGCTACTTTAGCTATGCATTATAATAGTAGCATTATAATAGTGACTCTCTATGACAAATCAAAGTTTAGACTAGAAAGTCAAAATGCGCAGTTATTTTATCTGTAATGATAGCTGTAAAGTCATTTTAAAGCTAAACATGTAACAACCTCTTCAGCAAACGAGAATAGATTAAAATGGATTGGAATTTTTTTCTATCCGAATGCGTATTTTAAATAGCGAACACTTCTTTTTTGGATTTAATTGAATTCAATTAAATTCAATTGGATGCAATTGGATTGAAAAACTGCATTTCCTTATTCAAAATTTTGAATTGAATAGTATTCACAATGTGTGTTTTGTGCACAGAAAAAGCTAATATTATTTTTAAATTGAAAGACATAGAGATATGCTGCATGCAATTCCTATAAATGAATAAAAATGCATTCAGGATTGAAAAACATTTTAACATCCGTAAATCAATATTTCTGAAATCCTTTTCATTTCAATCCATTATCGTTTGCTAGGTCTTTATATAGCAGAATAGTTAAGTAGCCAAATGGCTCCGATATCTGTTTTGCTGCTACAATTTTCAAAACGTCACAATGACGTTATGACAATCTGTGACAAAAATGCTATTTAAACGACAGTATTATCGTAATTTTGAAACTTCATGGGTTACTTGGATTAGTTAATGTTATTCCTGAAAATTTTTCTCAGAATTTTTCATATAATTTTTCAGAATTTTTCTTATAATTTTATAATTTTCTCACATTTTTTATACGAATTGGAACATTTCTCAGAAAATCTGCGTCTTTTCTCAAAATTTTTCGTATATGTTAATTATAAAATATCGTAAGATTTCTAAGATTTTTTGTAAATATAATTTCTGATAAAATTTTATAAAATCTAAAAAATTAAAAAATATTTTTTTCTAATTATGGGATGAGAAACTTCAGAATATTTTAGAATTCACTTGTGTGAAAAATTCTGAAAGAAGTAAACTTTCTGAATATTTTTGAGTATTTCTCTTTGAATATTTCTGAAAAATGTTCCAATTCATATAAAAATTATGAGAAAAATTTTTCGCCAGAAACATTAAGTACATTGTACTTTCGATTGTTATAAAAATAATCATACGGTATTATGTTGCTATGCATAAATTGCCATTGGATTGTACAGAAGATTAAATAAATATTGTCTTTAATGATATCACTAACACTAGATTTACCGCAACACCAACTGCAGACGTGATCAACATCACCGTTGCATCCAATTCAAAGTCCTTATGGACAATTCTTTCTATCGCGAGGTAGAATAAAATGCCGGTAACTACCCATATTAATAAAACCGAAGTCAATGCCCCGATAACCTAAAACAGCGAACAGAAAATATCATTAATTTTCGTGTGTTGTAATATTTCTGTTCCA